ATAAAATTCGATAGAATACCTAATTTGTGCTTTGAATCACATTAAAATCCCTACATTTCTGGTAGTAGATAAAATTGATCATCAATGTGATCATTTGTTGATAAAATATAACCATTGACTAACTACATTGACTAACTAGGATAGACCGGATAATCAATACTTTTTCTCATGTACTTAAATATAGAGTGCGCTAAAAAGCCAATGATATTTTTCTTAATCGGTATTTCAGATTCTGAGAAACAAAGTCCTATTTAATGTCTGTCCAATTTTTAGTTAATGCAATTGTAACATTGTTGATAGCAATTATAATACAAGTAAAAACCCAATGTATACTGTTATTATTGCATATTAATGTATACTGTTATTATTACAGGAATGTTAGATGTTGTATATATACACTCCGACTTCCATTCATCACTGTAACAGTTGAATGTACAAATTTCCGAATATATAAATCGAAAAACATTTTATTATGAATTTTAGTGTAATATGCAGTAAATTATTTATCACAACAATCAGGCGAAATTCTTTATAATAGTATAATAAATAACTTCCCTACCACCGTATGAGTAATTGATAAACTTTTGTGTTATTGATAATATTATCATGTTCGTGTCTTGTAATTCTTAATTGCGCAAAAAATTTTTTTTATAAATATTCGACATTCAACATCCTAGAAAAATCCAATATTATATATGAAAGTCTAGTTCGCCTTATCTTTAAATGGCAGATAAGACATTTGAATCAAGTAAGGAAGCGAATGAACACGCGGCTCGTCCAAAGTAAAACGATCGAACGTCCAAGGCTTTGTCCAAGGCGTTACCGCAAAGTTACATAAAAGTCACATACTTACGGACGTACGAAGCAACATGTGCACGTATTCATGATGTGTCCACGAAGTCAGTTCTTCGCGGTAGGCCGAAATTAGCATCGGGCAATTTGAACCACTGTCCTGTTCATAAAACGAAGTTACGAAATCGCGGGCCATATGTAGCTTTTGCGGTTGTTCATGAGTAATTACTTGGTGATTTGTCATCATATTCACAGGATCACGATTTCCTTGCGAATTTTGCGAAAAACGGCGTTATTAAGAAGTGAAATGCTCAGGATGAATTAACATGAAAATTACACAGTGGAGAGAAAAATTAAATGAATGTCAGCTGTCAAAATATTCTAATGTCGCAGGGTATTTTTAAATCAAATAACTTCACTTTGATTAAATTTACGTTCTAAAAGCGATGAGGATGACAAAAGAATTATACTACGGAGATCCCAATTTTTTGCTTTAAAATACGTGTATTAAATATAATCGAATTTTACGCACAATTCTGCTCAAAAGTTTTAGGATAAACACTAATGAAACACTTCAAACAGCAGTGTCAATATAATAACAATAATATTGTAAGATACAGGTGTAATTTCGAAATTTTATAATCCACGGTAACTATAGAATATTAAAATTAAAAACTGTCTTAGAAAATTTTTCTTTTAGAGTAAGAAATCAGTCATATTTCCCACGATTTGTACAATTTTATTGGCCAGGCAAAGGTTAAAAAGCCAAAGCGTATTCCGCTTTTCTATCGCTCGACAGATAAACAACCCCTATTCAACACACGAGCGTATATCTGTCACGATAAAAAGATGTATCTACTACATTTTGCAAACTACACTACACGTGTACCGCGCAACAGATATGTATAAACTATCGATAACATTAATCTTCGCGGAGTACAATGAGATTTTGAATACAATCAGACTACGGCGTATCTGCTCGCGGTGCCTTATCGCCCTTTATAATTTGCAAATTCGCGACGTCCGGGTGAGAGGCCAAGATATCCATGCTCTCCATCTGTTACCGGTGCCATAAACCACGAACTATATACAACTGTATGTTCGCTTTTCGAGATACAACGTACAGTCGAGATTGCGAATTCTTTGCAGTACTCGATGGCCACAGGACGATTGCATCTATCGATAAAACGATGCAAATGTGTATAAATGCACTATCGTTTAGAAGTGCTTGAATTTCTTCTGCAATTCGATTAGAAGATAAAGTTAGAATTGTATTAGTTTTCGAATCGGTATTGTTAGATTGTAGGTGATTTATTACAACTGTTCGGATTACATGTGGTTATTTAATCTTGATACATTCTCTAATTTTTCAAATATAAAACAGAGTCTTCTGGCTGACATTGGAGAAAATTAAATAATTTAATTCAAAATTAAATTACAATTATTTTAATTGTCTGTGATCCAATAATATCAATTATCGAGACTATTCTGTTAAATTTTAACTGTGGAATACGAAGTGTGAATCATCTGTAATGAATAATTGATATTTTTGGATATCTGTAGACACTTTCAGAACATAGCTAGAAATATAGTTCAGTTATTTAGATAATTTGATTTATTAAAAAATTAATAGATTTTACCAATATTATCACTGTGTTTTATTATTAGACTGCAGACATTTCTGAAATGTGATTTAAGAAATAAAATATAGACGGAAAATTGTCCTACATTTCGAAATATTTTATAATGTACCATATATGTCCTCAAAATTTCCTGAAAACGGATCCATAAAAATTTCTACAATTTCTACCTTCTGTAACTAATTTCTCTAATTAAATTTCAAAATGCTGTATATAAAATAACGTAACATAAAAAAACTTTTCATGGACAGTCCTTACTATCGTGAGTCACCGTACTTACGCAGCATACGCAGAGACACAGTTTACAAAAAGGAAGTCGTACAATCGACTAGAAGACGGATTAACGGAACATGATCGAGCATACGCACGTTGAATTGATTTTTCTCCAAGGGAGTAAGTTTATTAACGTCACAGTGATTACCATGACTCATTCCATAAGCCACGTTTAACATCGAATAATTTTTAACTTATCCAGTGATAAATTATGGACAGTTATGGAAAATGGACACGGTCGGCCGATGATGTTTGTACAGGGAAAAATCGTGTTTATCATTAGAATGCCAGTTCACGAGCAGTAACCACATACTCGCGTAGACATGAATGGACTACGGTTAGAGATTAGAAGGCTCGAATGCCAGAGATTAACGTTGAAATAGGTTGTAATTAAAGATATACAGAATTTAAAATCGTCTTCTGGCTGCTTTGGTAAAATCGTTTCAGTGTATCCAGAGAGGAGATTGATAAGTAGGTGAAGTAGAAAATTGGCCGTTGGCGAGATAATAATTTTTCTAGGGAACACAGGACCATTTTTCTATCGGTCGGTTGGAAATTTTCATAATTTACTGATTAAAATAGATATTTAGTTTCGTAAACCCTTTGTATTTAACATCGATGAGATTAATAACGCGCAAATTGGCATTTAGTTTTCTTCTCAACGATAAAAATAGGAAAGGGAAGAAGGGTGACGTATAAATAAGTCCGAAGATATTTATAATCTTTCCCTTTTAGTTTCGAAAATCTCTCACCGCAGAGAAGCGATGGGATTGCACGTTGGTCGTATTAAATTAATATTTCTTTTTTTTTTTTTAAATAAGATTCGAATGTTTATTAGCCAGATTTCATC